TTGCACTGTGTGGTGTGGTGGCGGTGCGTCAGTGTGGGGTGGAGTGCGTCAGTGAGTGGTGGGGTGCGTCAGTGTGTGGTGGAGTGCGTCAGTGAGTGGTGGGGTGCGTCAGTGTGGTGGAGTGCGTCAGTGTGTGGTGGAGTGCGTCAGTGTGTGGTGGAGTGTGTCACAATACAGGGCGACGCACCAACAATCACGGATGGTGTAAAATTCCTACAACAATTCACACGCGGGGGAAAAAAATTACAAGTTCCCTGTAGCCAAACATTTTCAACATTCAATGTGCCTCAGTTGATGGTATCTGCAAAAGCGTTTTACACTTAGTTTTTTTTTTTACACTGGGGGTTAAAGGCGCCAGATCTGAGCTTTGTAACTCTGATTTACTGGATACAAGATCTCTCGATCCCTCGGGCAGCTCTCCCTCACATAACTTTTTAACAGCTCTGCCTCCCACATCTCTCCTCCCACAGCTTTTCCTCCTAAAGTTATCCTTCCCACAGCTCTCCATCTCTCAGCTCTCCCACAGGCCACCCTTTCACAGCTCTCTTTTTTCCGGCAGCTTTCCCTTCCACAGATGATATTAAAGCTTAACCATATTTTCCCTAAACACGATTCGCTCATCGGTCCACGAGTCTGTCCCAAAACCATACGATTCTAACCAAAATATATCTGACGAGTAGCCTGTTCACCTGTGGAATAGTGTTTCTCACTTGGATTCAGCCTGTACACTTGAAATATATAGATGAACTCATCTAGATGCAAATGCAGAGTCGACCTCTGCAATTGAATTTCCTCTGCTCTGTCATATCATATATCGTCCATATACCTAATATATATTTTCCTGATTGGTGATTCGCGTTGGTTACTCAGCGATTCGACTGTCTGTTTGTCTGCCTGTCACATGATTAATGGGTTTGTTTACGTTAGTCATCCATCTGACCCTCGGCTCAACCGATCAACAACTCGCGGATTGATGACCACTGGATATGGAGAATTGACGGATAACTTTCTCTTTCACCGTTGCATCTTTGCACGAATATCTTGCAGATTAACAGCGCTGTTGCTGTGAGTGTCGACATGTCTTATGGAAGTTAAATTTTACGTACCTGATTGTATAGAAATAGAGGCCATTGTTGTGTCTCTTAGAATCAGGCTTTTTCTTTGTCGATGGTCTATCTTCTTTGGGATCCGTTTATGATCTCTGTTGATGTGTGATCCGCTTACGATCTCTGTTGATGTGTCATCCGCTTACGATCTCTGTTGATGTGTCATCCGCTTATGATCTCCGTTAAAGTGTGATCCGTTTACGATCTCTGTTCATCTGTTATAATCTTCAAAAAGTCTAGAAACATCTCTATCGGTCTCTTGTAGGGAGAGACCTTTATAGAAACCCCAAATTAAGAGAAGGAATACGTTGAATAGAACACCGAGAATAAACTGGAGGCGAGAATGAAAATAAAAGGAACATAGGTGGTGGACTCTTTCCAAGCCCTTTGGACATCAAAGCTAAAGGTGGTGAACTAAATCACACGAGTACGGAAGAGGGAGAATGAATAAAGGGGAGAGTAAGAGATAACTGCGTGTGGGGGGGGGGGGAAGAGAAGAGACGAGGGACAACACAGAAGATTGAAAGACAGAGAGCAGTAAAAATCTGACACACAGGGAGATGGAAAAAGAGACAATACGCAGAGAAGCAGGAATGCTGGTAGGGGAAGGAGGTGGGGGACAGAGGGTAGGGTATCAGGGGAGGGGAGGAGATGTTGGCAGGTGGGGGAGAGGAGATGTTGACAGGTGGGGGAGAGGAGATGTTGGCAGGTTGGGGGAGAGGAGATGTTGGCAGGTTGGGGGAGAGGAGATGTTGGCAGGTGGGGGAGAGGAGATGTTGGCAGGTGGGGGAGAGGAGATGTTGGCAGGTGAGGGAGAGGAGATGTTAGCAGGTTGAGGAGATGTTGGCAGGTTGGGGAGAAGAGATGTTGGCAGGTTGGGGGAGAGATGATGTTGGCAGATGGGGGAGAGATGATGTTGGCAGATGGGGGAGAGGAGATGTTGGCAGGTTGGGGGAGAGGAGATGTTGGCTAGTGGAGTAGAGAGGCTGACAGATGGGGGAGAGGAAAGGGGAGACTGACAGGTGGACAAGTATAGGTTCTGTGCCTCGGTAGCGGAAGCCCCGTCCCGCGCGACTCAGAGCTGCCTGTCCATCCGTTCCGATTCCAATTCCATTGTACAAAACTGGAAAAGTGTCGCTATGGAAATATAATCGGTTGTATTCGCATGGACCCGCTCTGCTTACATTAGCATAGCGGCTGTCATAAATATCACCGAAGAATCGCTATTTCCTTTTTTCCTAGTGTGGCTGGGAGACAGAGTGCCCTAAAAATCATGCTTCTATACAAAAATTTTTTTGTGTAATGTAGGCATTGAATCGATCAGATATTTAGAGCATTATGCTTGGAAGTGGTCAGCCTGGTGCCGGCTGGCATCCACCACAATGTTGGCACTTGGTATGGAACTGAGTCAAAGGCTTTATGACAGTCTAAAAAGATGCAGTCTTTTCACACCTCGTCTTGTCTTATTTAGATTACTTATATCATAGAACTCCAGTAGGTTATTTAGGCATGAATTTGTCTTCCTTGTTGGTGTTTATTTACATGCCTAATCCTCACCAGGTGTTTAACTAGTCTAATCCTCATTGTTATTCCGAGTGCCTTGCAGTGACTGCTTACCAGTGGTACTGGTGTGTATTAAAGTGTGTGTTTCGCCAGTAGACTTGACGAGATATGACTACATCTAGGAGTATACTCACCTAATTGTGCTTGCGGGGGTTGAGCTCTGGCTCTTTGGTCCCGCCTCTCAACCGTCAACGGGTGTACAGGTTCCTGAGCCTATTGGGCTCTATCATATCTATACTTGAAACTGTGTATGGAGTCAGCCTCCACCACATCTCTTCCTAAAGCATTCCATTTGTCAACCACTCTGACACTAAAGAAGTTCTTTCCAATATCTCTGTGGCTCATTTGGGCACTCAGTTTCCACCTGTGTCCCCTAGTGCGTGTGCCATTTGTGTTAAATAGCCTGTCTTTATCTACCCTATTAATTCCCTTCCCTTGAGTGTGTGTGTGTGTATGTGTGTATTCACTAATTGCTATTTGTATTTACTTTTTGTATTTGCAGAATACAGAAAGAATACAAATACTATTAGCTCTTGAACTCCGTCTTTCTAACCAATTTATTTTTCCTATATTATATCTACTACATATGTTTCTCACTAACACGCACACAACCCAGGATGCAGCCCGTAGCAGCTGTCTAACTCTCAGCTACCTATTTACTACTAGGTGAAGATCTCACAGGCTCGTTAATCATACAGTTGCATGTGATCAGAAACCTACACTGACAAACTTTGTATGCATTATGAGGACATCCTCAAGAACACAAAGGTAGAAAAAGTAGCTGAAAAGCTCAAGGTACCTTCAAGGTGTGGAGGCCTGGTCGAGGACCGGGCCGCGGGGACACTAAAAGCCCCGAAATCATCTCAAGATAACCTCAAGATATACCTTAGACTGGGAGGTCTGAAGGGTCTGATGACTGGACATTCAATATATGTGTGAGATCATGATCCACTTCTTGCTCACAGAGATAACACAGAGTGCTCAGGATTGAAGGATCAGTCACCTGATCTGCCTCAGGTGTCGGTAGCCCAACTGATCCTGGCAACCATTTTTTTCCCACTGTCTGGTGGATGTTTCGCGTTGCCCATATAAATACTGTAGGTTTCGGATGGCAACATAGCTATTGATAAAAGTGGTACTGTAAGAAATTGGGGATTTTTACTGGGGATACTGGCCTTGATACTGGGAATTTTTTTTGTATTAACACATTTAGGTACATCTGCATTTGTGCAGCTACCCTAGACTATATTAAGGGGAGTACAGTGTGTCAAAAAAAACGAACTAGCTACGTGATGCTAAAAATCTCCATCACACAGGATAGTTAGCCTACCTGGAGAGACGGACGAGAAGCGGTGTTCTCAACGTGGTATGGCCGTTGGCCTACCTGGAGTCTCTTCACCTCACCGCAAAACTCTACGTGATTCAATATCCGAGTTTCAGTAATAGAAATGTACTCTTCCCCCACACAAGGTCTACACCTTGTAGACCTTGTTAAACGCCTAGTTTAAACATTGTCCAGTTAAACGCACGTTAATGACGCTATGTAAAAAGACACCTTGAACACCGTTTTTATGTAGGACAGATGTAAATCTGTGTATTTATGTTTGTAGGATAGATTAACATTTTAAAAGCACTACAATCACCTTCTGTGGTCGATTGTTCAAAAAATCACTCAATTATATGTTTAACAGATCCCTAACCCTGTCCATGGAGGACAGAAAAAATGTATATATGCTGGTTAGCATTGTAAATGTGTAGCCACGTCTGTGGTAGAAAATAATAATAATACAAACAAATAAAAGAAACTGTCTAGTATCACACTGTTGGCTCTAGAAGACGCGCTAAGCGCTCTTTGCGTCCATCCTTGAAGGACTGGTTATCTTGAGGTTATCAACAGATGATTTCGGGGCTTATCGTCCCTGCGGCTAAAACACCTTGCACATAGGACCATAAATCACTAGGATAATTATATTAGTCTCTGATTATACACACAATCTCCTGGACGCCTAGTGAAATGGACGAACTTGTATTTCTTAGTTCTATTCTAGTGTTAGACACCATTAGATATATTAAACTTTAGCTTAAATAGACAATATAGTAACAACCGGTTCCCTATAACTCTCAAAGTTATTGAAATTCCTTTGTAAGACTCTGTCACCACTTCACAACCATAAAACACTTCAGATGATAATCATACCTTAAAGTATACATTGAAATCATTATCCATAAGACCCACGTTAAACATGACCCTTACATATGAAATTAACACCAGATACAGGATCAGAATGTTCCCCTTGCCAAAATAACAGAGCAACAAAGAACAACACTCACCATCAACACCCAGTGACGTTATGGTAAGAAGCAGTAGCAGTGAGTGTACACACATCTTGCCTGGGTGTTGCTACCGTGGGTCCTCGAGCAGTCTACTTGTGACTTCCCCAGAATACTTGACGTAGTAGCTGAGATTTGTGTGTGAATAGATTCCCCAAAGCACGTGAGGTGGGTGTTGGGGACGTACGCGAGAGGGAGTATAGTACGTTATAGTACGACCACGAACACCTGATGTGGAGGCTGCTGGGGTCAGACGCAGGAGGCTTTCACAGAAAACCTGATGTGGGCGCTGGGGGTCTTCCCCAGAACTCTTCTGTGACTGCCTGGGGTATCCACTCGTGTCATCTTCCACACCAGTGGTGTTTAGTATCAGTGAGAGGCAAGCAGTGTCGCAGAAACTGGCTGGGAGTTGGTGGCTTTGTTAGTTGATTTTCTCTGAGTAGTTACGGGGTTTTGACGGCCTAGTTATGGTTTATGTTAGATTGAATCTTATTCTAATAGGATTGATGACTGGTTGACCTGTATTGGTTGGGTACACGACTGCTTGTCTCACTCAGTAGCGCTCACGCCTTGGTAGACGCGTGTTCTGGTAGAGCTCACGCCTTGTTGACGCGTGTTCTGGCAGAGCTCACGTCTGGTAGAAATGAGGAAGATTTGTACTAGCAGGTTTGGCTGGATGAGACTTGTACTAGTGGAATAAATAGCAAAGATGATTGTCTAACTTGACGCTCTATCACTGGTGGGATTGAGTGATGGTGGATAAACTGACGTATAGTAGACTTGTTATAATTTGGGTTTAGTAAATTCACTACCCCAACACCATCACTAACTTAGTCCCACGAGTCTATCGAGACTTATAGTAAGTTTCAGAACGAATCCGTTTCATTTGTTCAGCCTCAGACAAGCAGGTGTAGAGCCATCTAACAAGGTTTGCTATCTATTCGATGTTTTGGTTAGCGCCTGATAATGTTTATATGTTTTCATAACCACGAATGTTTGCATATTGATTTTCACTATAGTATGTTTGAATTATGGTTTGATTTTCATAAAATAGTTTGTGCATTAATTTCTAAGGAAATGTTATAAATGTTTTTTTTTAATATATCATGTAATATATGGCAAACTCATAATGTATTGTATCCTTGAAGAAGGGAAAATAATATCGCTCATTACAAAGCTTAGACGGATGGGAGGAACAGAATAAAAATTTGCGCGGGAACGCTACATCGGATGTAAACAAGAAGCACGTGGGTGACGGGCGCGCGGCCGAGACTGCTTCAACACCCTAACCTTCTCGCTTGCCGACCGGCCCAACACTGACCGTGCAGATGCCTCGTCGGCCCTGTCTCTCTCTCTCTCTACCACCGCCTCCACCACCATCATCTCCCCTGCCTCAACCACCATTACCCCCCCTCCCACTGCTTCAATCACCACCCTCCCCTCCCACTGCCTCAACCACCATACCACCAAACGTCTCCAGACAACACCTGAGGTTTCTGCCTATGCTATCGGCACTGGTTTCTAAATTTCTACGGCAGTCACCGCTGTCGTTCTCTCAAATAATCTACATACAAAGGGATGAGGTACTGTACTGTGAAAAAAATGAGACTGAAACATCAACGTTTTTTATGTTAGGTAGGTTAGGTTAGGTGGGTGGCTCGGGTTCGTGCGTTAGTTCTGGTTAGCTTAGCACTTTATATTGTGTATGTTGTGCCAAATCTAATTAACGAGCTGCTGTCAGTTATCCTGCTCTTTTACCTTAGAGTTGTTATTATTATTTATATATACACACCAGTTCATGCATTCTTGTAAAGCCACTAGCACGAACAGCGTTTCGGAGCAGGTCCTTAATCAGGTCCTTAATTCAGGTCTTAAGCAGGTCCAGGCCCTTAAGCAGGTCCTTAATTCTGTTTCATGGAATTCGACCCGCTAAATCGTTTAACAACCAGGTACCCGTTCACTGCTGGGTGAACAGAGGCGTAAAGGATTTACTGGGCGGCAATCCTTAACTGCAGCCTCTGTTCACCCAGCAGTGAACGGGTACCTGGTTGTTAAACGATTCGGCGGGTCGTATTCCCGGGAAAATTTGGATTAAGGATTTGTCCGAAACGCTATGCGTGCTAATGGCTGTACAAGAATGTTAACTCTTCTATATACAGTTAAGGATTGGCGCCTAGTCTAACCTCCCCGGCCAGGATACGAGCCCAGGCCAAATCGCTTGTGAAGCGTGGGGCGAATTTCTTACCATTGCGCCAGAGACTGCATATTGCAGTCGCTAATATTAGATTTAGAAACTTTATTAGTAAGTGATTTATATAAATCGTTACAATTGTGGCGGGAGTGAACAGGTGTATATACAGCCGTAAAAACTTGTAGCTTACAAATAAAGCAGTGAAACCTTTGTTAATAAAGTATACAGAATAAATTATAACGATGAGAATACAGTTTTAAAGATAATTAACATTGTAATTATTGGGAACTTTGATCAACAGTTAGCAGAGCGTGTTATGGGGAAACAAGCAGGGATAAGTATTGAATGTAAGTTGGAAAGTCAGTATAACCTGCAGTCGTAAGACTTCTCTTACTGTATTCTTAAGTGGTTGCCAGTTGCAAGAGTTGTGTAATTTAAAACTTGAATGGTTTGCTGATTATAAAGCTAATTGACTGTCAGATTTACTTTGTTGTTTAGCAGACTGACTTATTGGCCGTCAAACTGTCAAACTGGATTTTTTTTTTTTTTTTTTTTGAGATATATACAAGAGTTGTTACATTCTTGTACAGCCACTAGTACGCGTAGCGTTTCGGGCAAGTCCTTAATCCTATGGTCCCTGGAATACGATCCCCTGCCGCGAAGAATCGTTTTTTCATCCAAGTACACATTTTACTGTTGCGTTAAACAGAGGCTACAGTTAAGGAATCGTGCCCAGTAAATCCTCCCCGGCCAGGATACGAACCCATGACATAGCGCTCGCGGAACGCCAGGCGAGTGTCTTACCACTACACCACGGAGATTGACTAGTTTCACTAGAATGTTAGCTGGCTAGTTTACCGACAGACTTGGACCAGGATTCATCAAGGATTTACGCATCTACTTACGAAACCTGTACATCTTTCGACAATCATGGTGGCTTTTATTTACATTTATTAAACAATTTAAGAATTTCGGATTCTCACAACTCCAGATTATTATTGTTATAAACACCCTCGTAGCGCTTCGCTCATAGTCTGTTTAATAAATGTAAACAAAGTTACCGTGATTGTTGAAAGATGTACAGTTTTTGTAAACGGATTCGTAAATCCTTGATGAATCCTAGCCCTACTGTCTGACAGACATGCTTGATCTTCAACAGACTCGCTTACTGATTAACGAAGTGATTTTATTGCTGGCAAGTGAGCTGACTCACTATGTGTGATGGTGACAGCTCTTGGCTGGCAGACTGACTTGTTGATTGACAGTCTTACTAACAGGCAATTTGATAACTAGCAAATTGCAATTGATTTGCTGAATGGTGTGATCATGAACAGAATTAGTGACTGGCCTCAACGGATTGCTGAATAAAGCGTATGACAGGCAGGCTTATTGTCTGGTTTATAGAAATGTTTAACTACCAAAAAGGCAGGTCGTGTAGATGACTGACTCGGTGACTAGCTTTCTTGTACGATGTTCGTCTATCCCAAACTCTTTACTAGTTCCTACAGACCAGTTACTATCTGGGTTGTATCTGGATGGGGTTCTGGGAGTGCTTCTACACTCCAAAGCCCGGCCCGGGGACAGGCTTGACTTGTGAGAGCTTGGTCCAGCAGGCTGTTGCTTGGAACGGCCCGCAGGCCCACATATCCACCACAGCCCGGTTGGTCGATATGTGGGCCTGTGATTGATGAAGATTAAGCCACCCAAGAGGTGGCACGGGCCTGAATAGCCCGTAAGTGGTGGCCCTTTCGAGCCATTACCAGTATCAAAAGATGATACTGGAGATCTGTGGAGGCGCAACTGCACCCTGCGTGACGGGAGATGTCTCCCGGACCAAGTGGTGACCAAATGGTGTGGGCCTGTGGTTACTGATTAACTGAAGAAGATTAAACCACCCAAGAGGTGGCACGGGCATAAATAGCCCGTAAGTGCGGTTATTACAGTTTCTAGTGTTTTCTACTACCCCTAAACTCTCGCTAAGTTTCTAGAGACGTGTTATTTTGTGCTCTTCATTCCCCAGTCTCTCTCCAGTATAGATTTGAACCAACTCACGGCTGGGGCACTATACCTTATAATAATTAACAATAATAACAACAATGTGACACAATCGACTTGAGAATGGTCCAGGACGGATCGAAACGACGTCGTCCCTTCACCTTCTAGTGTGTGGTCTGGTCAATTTATTTTAGCCACGTTATTGTGACTCATCACCTAAACAACAACAATGTGGTTTACAGCTGTGCCTGTGAAGCTTCTGGCCAGCTTGTTTTAATTGCCACAGCTGGCGGAACTCCATATATGACTACTCACCCACCAACGTCCTCAGTGCAATATACACCATCGTCTATTTTTTGTCTCATTTTTAATATATTGATTTGTTCACAAATTAACACCTTTTTCATAATAGGAAATATATTTAAGGGCAGTAGTTCCACTTTACACGTCACGATAGCATTATGCGTTCACGTTGAACTATAAATGCACTCCAACAATATCTGCCGAGGTTTGGGCTGCACGTGAAAAGACTCTCGGTACTCATAACTTGACACACATCACCATGTCTTAAGCTGGAGATCTACTACCTCGAGGGTGGAGTGTAACTAGACCTGTTGTCCTCAGTGCTCCTTGACCTCAGGGAACCTTACCCAGTGTTGTGAAGCCTTGCATGATTTTAGAGCAGGGCAGACTTACGTCCCCCCCCCACACACACACACACCCACACACACCCACACCCACACCCACACACACACACACACACACACACACACATCGCCAACATGGATTCAGGGAGGGTAAATCTTACCTTACTGGCTTAATAGAATTCTACGACCAGGTGACAAAGATTAAGCAAGAAAGAGAAGGCTGGGCGGATTGCATTTTCTTGGATTGTCGGAAAGCCTTTGACAGTCCCCCATAAGAGACTGGTACATAAGCTGGAGAGAGAGTCAGGAGTAACTGGTAAGGTGCTCCAGTGGATAAGGGAGTACCTAAGCAATAGGAAGCAGAGTTACGGTGAGGGGTGAGACCTCAGATTGGCGTGAAGTCACCAGTGGAGTCCCACATGGCTCTGCACTCGGTCCTATCCTGTTTCTGATATACGTAAATGATCTCCCGGAGGGTATAGACTCATTCCTCTCAATGTTTGCTGACGATGCTAAAATTATGAGAAGGATTATGACAGGAGGACTCCTTGAGGCTTCAAGAAGACCTAGACAAACTGAAGGAATGGTCGAGCAAATGGTTGTTAGAGTTTAACCCAAGCAAATGTAATGTAATGAAGATAGGTGTAGGGAGCAGTAGGCCAGATACAAGTAAGTAATCATCAAAAAGAAGGCACCAAACCGGGAAGGCTATGTAGCACCATCAAATGTGCGGAATAATCAGAGGGCGCTAAATATCACCAAGGATGCCAATACAAGAACAGAAACGCATAAGGCAAACGATATCAAAAGTATCCGAGTCCCCGAGAATACTATCGAGAGACAAGCGACCGCGGGAGACGGTCGGAAAACAAGACACGCTCTTCCCGGAAGTCAGGACACTCGACAAGGATATGCACGACCGTAAGAGGGACACTGCAATTAGGACAATAAGGAGCAGGGCGGCGCTCCATCAAGTGACCGTGAGTTAAGCGAGTATGGCCAATACGCAACCTCGCCAGAGCCGTTTCCCATCGCCGGTTACGGTGGCAGGAGGACGGCCACGAGGACACAATTTTGAAGAAAAAATGGGACAGTTTCAGTAGCTGAATCTATAACAACAACAAACATATGTCTGGGTACAAGTAACAGGATGAACAACCCAGCGGGTTTTCTTCGTATTGGAGTGTTGTACATGCTATGGCGGTGCCCTGTCTCCTTGCAAATTACGTCTGAATTTGGCCGTTTACCCGTACGGTCGAAAATGGACTTTATTTGAATATGAAAAATATTTGAAAATTTTGGATTTTTTTTCCAAAACGGCAAGTTAAGGGTCCTTTAATGGGTTAGGAGGGTAGGAAGTTCTAAGGTTTCAAACCGTAATGAAAACCGTTGAAAGTTTCCTCTCCTAACCTAACAGAGTAAGCTGGAAGACTCAGAACGGGACAGTACGTCACTTTCGTGATCAGATTTAATTTCAAA